ATTCTACCCAGAAGGGACAAACAGAAGAGAGACCACAAAGGACCACCCCAGGTTCTCCTGCACATCTGTGCGGTAGGCTCGCAACTCTGTCTGGAGGGTAACGGGTGACTGGATTGGTGACAGGTGGAGAAGTGAGGCCCTCCACCAAGCAAGAGATACTGCTATAGGCACCCAGCACCCCGTCCTGGGTCCCCAAGAAAGCACAAAGGAGGAGAAAGAAGAAGCCACGGAGTAGAGGAGAAGGACAGATGTGGGCTTCTGAACGGAGAATGGAAAGCAATGGAGCCAACAGGCAAACGAGATCTGACCCGGTATCACGAACTGAAGCATAAGGACGGGTTACAAGCTCAACTCTGCATGAAAATCTCAGCCCTGGGTCTAATCCCAGCCCTGCCACTCGCGAGTGGGTTCACCCTCTCTGTGCCTACGTCATCACCTACGAGATGGGGGGTAGTAACAATCACAGAACAATGCAGGTAAGGCGCCCAGCACAGTGTCTGCACGTAGCAAACGCTCAATAAATATTATCGGAAAGAGTTCTGCAAACACTGTAAAGAAGAAAGGTGTTCTACAGAGGCTTAGAATTAATGGAGACAATGAGAATGAAGCTGAGAGAAAGTGCTTTGAACAACTCTGATCTGGAAACAAGGTAAGGGCCCAAGGGGAGCTTTGGCGGGAGACACACTTCATGCCTGGCGACTAAACGGAGGAAGAGGGGCCTGATCAACAGGTCTCCGGTTTGATTCCTGCTCCGGGCACACGCCTGGGTTGCAGGTTCAGTCCCTGGTCATGGGGCTCATGCAGGAGACAACCAACGGATGTTTCTCTCTCGCATCAATGTTTCCCTCCCCATCTTTCTCCCTCCCTCCCCCTTTCTCTAGAATCAACTTTTGTTTAATGGAGGAAAAGGGCTGCTCAGAGCATCAGTGGTAACTGTCCTTCCACCGGCCCCTCCAGCTAAGGGCCCACCCAGTCTTACCAACGCAGGGCGATCGCGAGGGAAGCTGGAAGAAAGGAAGATGGAGACGTTCCCCTGGAAGACCCCAAACTCACGGTGGTGGGGCTATGGCCCCCAGAACCCCAAACCTTTCCACACCAAGCTATGGCTGCCCAGGCAACAGACAACTTAGCGCAGCAGAAAGGGCACCTGCTAAGAATCAGACACACCAGGGTTTGAATCCCAGCTCTGCCCCTCACTCGCGGAGAGCCCAGAGCCGCTCTGGCACTGACGCAGAGCCCCCGGGGAGTGCCGGCCACTCCAGGAGGACCTCTGCCACAGGCCCAGCAGCTGGGCGCCCTGACCCTGGCCTAACACACACAGGCACCACACAGACAGGCGAGCCTCAAGTTCAGACTTTCCATGGAAACAGGGAGGCTCCACAGCCCCGAATGCCCCAGGCAACTCCCCTGCTCCCCAGCCCCCCCAGCCGCTGCACCCCTCCAAGGACAATGAGCCACTGTTTTCTGGAGGGTCAAGACTGCTGAGAAGCCCAGAGAAGACATGTCCAGACTCCGGCGGTGGCTGGGCATTGCCAACAGCTGGCTGTGCCCCTGGGAGAGGAGGACAGCAGAGCTACCAAGGCCTGCCTGCCCTGGCCTCTACCATAAGGACGCCCCCCACCCAACACCACCATAGAGGCCACATTCTGGGGATGGCCCCCAGGGTGGAAATGTTAAAGGTAACTAGCAATCTCTCAGCAGACCCCATGGCTCATCTCCCCCGGTGAGTCACTGATCACTTGTTACCTGATGATGATGAAAAGTACCAGGACCTGAATGGGATCAGTCTGGGTTCCAATCCCAGCTCCACCCGCCCCCCCCCACCGACCCTGCCAGATTCCGCATCTGCTGTAAAACGGAGATACAACACCTCCCTCTCACAGAGGCCGCGATGAGACTCACCGAGTACCTCCTCCACTGCCTGTCTCCCGTCAATCAGGGCGCCACTGGTGGACCACAGCTGTGGGCACAGGCCCCCACGCAAGCCGGGGATGGGAGTGAGGGGCGTGCAAGGAGTCAGGTCAGAAAGTGCAACCGCGCACACCCCAGAGCTGTGGGACTCTGTCCAGGAAACTCCGGCCAGAGAACAGGGCGAACTCTCGGCCAAACCAGCGTCTGAACAGTAATAGAAAAGCCACCCTCCAGCACAAAGCAGAGAACACACAGGGAAAGGCTGTGTCTATGTTTTTCTGCCCGAACACCTATAAATTTGTAACTTATTAAGTAGCACATGGTGAGACTGTCACCAGCAGCCACGGGGAGGGGTGAGTTCCCCAACTTTTCTTTAAAGATTTCATTTATTCATTTTTAGACAGAGGGGAAGGGAGAGAGAAAGAGAGGAAGAGAAACATCAATGTGTGGTTGCTTCTTGCATGCCCCCAACTGGGAACCTGGCCCACAACCCAGGCATGTGCCCTGACTAGGAACTGAACCGGCGACCCTTTGGTTTGCAGGCCGGCACTCAATCCACTGAGCCACACCAGCCAGGGCATCCCCAGGTTTTTTTTTTTTTTAAGACCAAAAAGCAAAGCCCCAGCGCGGACTCTTGCCCCCTCTGGCCTTGCCACAGGATGCCCATCAGCTCCTCCCTGTTTCAAGGACCCAGAGCCTCCCGCAGAGGCCCCCAGCTGAGGGCACGCTCAGGAGGAAAATGAAAACAAGAGGCCTGGCCTTTGTGTCCACCCTAACTAAGGAAAACAGCTGCCAGGAAGGGTGCTGAGCAGTCGGCCAGACAGCTGAAGGGGCCTGAGCACAGAGGCGAATTCCTCTCCCCTCCTGCACGCCTCATTCCTCCCACCCCAGGCTCCGGTCAGCCAGGCGTGGCTGGCCGCCTGGGAGCTTAGGCCACCGAGCCGGGCAGCTGGGATCCAAATAACTGGAGAGGCTGTGGCACAAGGTGGCAGAGGGCGACAGAAGTTACAGGTGGCAGCCCTCACCCTGCTGGGACCCTTCCTTCCTGTGTGGCTCGCTCCCCCCTCAGGAAGAAGGGACTCTCGGTACAAACTACTGCACATCTAGGCGCTGGCATCTGGGCTTCCAGTCCTGGTTGTCGTCTGGTGGCTGTGCAGCCTTGGGCAAGTGAATCAACCTCTCTTAGTCTCAGTTTTCTCAATCTGTAAAAGGCAGGTGGTAATGACAGCAGTGCCCCTGAGGGGCTCTTATAAAAGGCTGCTGCCAGGACAGCACAAGTGGAAGTACGGGGGAGAACGCCACGGACGGCAAGTTTGAAGCCCTGCGGTGCCCCTTGCCAGTACTCTCTCCTTCCCTTCGGAGACTAACTCAGTCTCCTGGCCGTACGTGGAAGACTGGCTGAAGACAGGAATTCAGGGCTTCAGCTGCAAACCTCCAAAGCCTTTCTCCTTCAAACAGCACAGGAACTGTGTAGAAACCTGGAGACTTTCAGATCCTGGTTTTAAAAATATCTCCCAGCCTCCTTTCAGCTTACTTATTTTTATGTGAAAAAAAATACCTGCCCGGAAGCCATGCCAACCTTGAGTGTGTTGGAAAAGTGGGTGCCAAGCCCGCCCCGAAGACAGACCTAAGCTTGGCAGCCATCGCACTCTGCAAACAGGCAGGATCGGACACACACCATCCCCAGAGCCAAGATGGGGGCGTCAGGGTCAGGGGCCGGGGTACATGATCCCAAAGAAGCAGCCAGGCAGCAGGGAAGTCCCAGTCCTCCTCCCTGGCCCCCTGGAACTCCAGTGCCTACAAAGAGCCAGCCTTAGCCTAGTGCCCTGTGCCCTGGGGGGAGGCCCATCAGTGGAGGAGTGGATGAATCCCCTCCTCAGAGCCTGCGACAGAGGAAGCACGGGTCGCACAAGGCACCCACAGTCCCCAGAGGGAAGACAAGGCTCCTACAGAGAAGACACTCCCCCCCTCCTTACCTCCCCAGCTCAGAGGCCCTCCAGCTCCAGGCAAGAAGGGCAGGGAGAGTGAATCCTCCCACTCCAGGGTTCACGCCGCCCAAGGCGTTCCTAGAACCCTGGCACCAACCCCCTTGGCTGCAGTGTCTGGTTCCAGGAGACACTCTCCCTGCCCTCACAGCAAATCAAGACCGGAGTGAAAAGAGTGCTTTTGGAGCTCCAATAACACGAAAACAGTACAACTCTGTTCCGGGCATCCTGTCCTCCTTTCCCGTGTGGCTTCCAGCACGGCCTGGTGCTAGGTGGAGGGAAGGGACACTGCCAGCCTAGATCAGTTCAAAGACGGCCATACCTTGAGGCCCACTTCCCTCCTCATTCCCCTGGCATTTCATCTCACCAGCGTCTGGGAGTGGGGTGCGAATCCTGTCTCCCCGGGTTAGTGTGGCCCACAGACAGGAGTCAGTGAAAGGGAGCAACCCGTCCGTGAAACAGGGCGCCCAGACCTGGCCCGGGGGGGTTAGTGGGGCACGCGGGAAACTTGTCTTTGTAGGGGCGAAGCTCCTCTCTAACTTGTGAGTCTGACTAGTCACCCGAAAGGGATGGGCTCGGAGAGGTTATCGCTGAAGTGGCAGCGGTCCTGGAGCGGGTGGGAGCGCGCCCTGGAATTGAAGGGCCGGCCTGTAAACTAGGCGGCTGCTCCCCGAATCGGCCAATCTGCGAGGTGGGGGTGGGGAGCGCTCTGTGCAGTGAGGGTCCCACGGCTGGGGAGGCGATTTGGCCCAGGCAGTGAGGGTTCTGCCCCTGAAGCGGACGGGGAGGGTTTTTGAGGTGCGAGCTGGTCCCTGAGGCTGGTATGAGAGATGGGGGTGGGTTCCTGAGGTTGGGGGTCCGGAGGTGGGGCCGGCCCCGAGGCCGGGGGTGGCGGCTGTGAGGACCGCGGCGAGGCCGGCCTCGTCCCGGACTCAGGCCCGGTCCGGGATCCCGGCCGTGCGGAACCCCGGCCAGCCGGGACCAGATCGGAGACCCGAGCCGCCGAGGGTGAGATCCCGCGGCCCCGGCCGGTCGCTCGCGCCCGCCCGGCCCAGGGCCGCGCGCCCTTCGCTGCCTCCCAACCTCGGCCTCCCACTCACTCACCGAGGTCGTCCATGGCGGGGCTGTGGGAGCCGGGAACCGACTCGACCTCGCGCTCGCTGCCCGTCCCGGGGACGTTCCTTTCCGCCCTGCAACTTTTCCGCCGCGAGCTCCGGCCCGGAACGGAACGCGCTGCCGCCGCGCGCGCCCGCGCCCGCCGCGCGCCCCGCCCCCGGCTGTCCCCGCGAGCACGCGCGCCCCGCCGTATGCCCCGCCCCCGGCTGTCCCCGCGAGCATGCTGGCCCCGCCCCGTGCGCACGCCCGCCCGGTCCCCTCCGAGCCCGCGAGCGCGCGCCCAGCCCAAAGGGGGGCGAAGCTGGGCGGGGCGGCGGCGCCCCCTTGCGGCCCAGCCCGCCTTAAGGTCCTCCAGTCGGTCTGTCCTGTCAAAGTCTGGATGACAGACTCATCAGCCTGTCTGGATATCTCGGTCTGATCTGTGTCTGTCCACCCATCAGAGCCCATGGCAGTGTAACTCGAAGCCCGGCCTTTGGGGTCAGATTCAATCCCTTTAATGTTCCACATGCCCACCCTCTCCAGAGTGAGAGTTCCAAAACTCTGCATGGAGCAGAAGGGACCCCACCTTAGACATTAAAAGAAAAACTACAGGGAGGTTACAGCTAGCGCCAGGCACAGAGTCCCGGAACACCTACTGCCACTCCAGACCCCGGAGGGCTCCGCTCCTACAGACTCAGAAATCCGGTAATAATAACAGCTCCATGTATTGAGTGCCGGATACCATATAACTGTTACCTGAATTAATTCTCATAGAGGCAGTTATTACTATTAGCCCTTCCCCACGTTTTGGAATGGGCCATGGTGGTTTGTCGATTTTATATATAAATGAGCTGTGAGCACAGATTCAAGCGCCCCTTCCCAAAAGAATGCAACCCCTGAGACCCTCTGTATCAGGCCAGGTCCTCTGGGAAGCAGACGTTGAGAGAGAGCTGCGTTTAGGCCTGTGAAAGAGACAGGGGAGCGCGGGCCTGCGAACCAGACAATCGCGGTTCGATTCCCAGTCAGGGCACATACCCGGGTTGCAGGCCAGTTCCCTGCAGGCCAGTTCCCAGCAGGGGATGCATGAAAGGCAACCATACATTAATGTTTCTCTCCCTCTCTCCTTCCCTTCCCCTCTAAAGATAAATAAATAAAATCTTTAAAAAAAAAAAAAAAGAGACAGGGGAAGAAGCAGGATTGGCTCAGGAGAGACCCAGGTCTGACAAACAGGGAGCCCCGCAACAGAAAGTCGGAGAGGAGTCCCTACTGGGCAGAAGCATCTAGGCCCCATTCCCCACCATGCTCAGCCACTGGCTGGGGCTGCCCAGGAGCAGTGTGGCACCCAGTGCCTTGGGTCTAGAAGCTGTCATTCCTCGAGCTGGAAAGCAAACTCCTTCTTTTGAAGGCAGAAACAAGAGGTTCGCTTTTGCAGCTGCCACCTCCTCCTATATTAAAACTCAAGCACCCAGCCCTGGCTGGTGTAGCTTAGTGGACTGGGTGCCGGCTTGTCAACCAAAGGGTTCCCGGTTTGATTCCCAGTCAGGGCACATGCCTGTGTTTCAGGCCATGTCCCAGGTTGAGGGTGCATGAGAGGCAACCACACATTGGTGCTTCTCTCCCTCTTTCTCCTTCCTTTTCCCTCTCTCTAAAAATAAATAAATAAATAAAATAGTTTTTAAAACAAATTCAAAGCCCTGGCTGGTGTAGCTCAGTGGACTGAGCGCAGGTCTGTGAACCAAACAACCGTGGTTCAATTCCCAGTCAGGGCACGTGCCTGGGTTGCAGGCCAGTTCCCAGCAGGGGACGCACTAGAGGCAACCATACATTGGTATTTCTCTTCCTCTCTCCTTCCCTCCCCTTCTAAAGATAAATAAATTAAAAAATTTTTTTCAAGAACCCAGACTGCTCCCCAACTAGGCAGTCACTCTGCCCTTGCCCTCCCAGCACCTCTCTGAGGACACTCCTCACGGCTGCACTTTACCCTCCGTGGCAGGATTACCAGGTAAGGTCTCTCTTCCTATCAGGCTAAACACACAGAAGGGAGGAACCCTGTCTGTTCCTGCTCACCAAGTGTACAGACTTAGTCTGTGTATGGCAGAAGGTACTCAGTATACATTTGCTGGATGCCTGGCAGGCATTGTGCAAACCACAGTCCGTTTCGTTTCACAGTTTAATAGAAGACACTGAAGATTTAAGATTGGGAAATAATTCATTCACTCACCTCGGAGGAGAACAGTGGGGTCACAGATAATGTTTTAAAAATGTATATTAAGTCTCATCTTCATTCCCCTGCTTCAATGCCCCAGCGTTTTTTGTTGCCCTCAGAGTAAAATCTAGACTTTTTGCAACGGTCTCAAAGGCCCCATGTCAGATTTTGTCTTCTTCCGGTCTCCCCTGGTCATTACATCCCAGCCCCACTGGTCTTCACTATGTCCCTTGAGCACGGCAAACTAGTTCTGACTTCGGAACCTTCGCAGCTGTGAGCCCCTTTCTGGAATGTTCTTCCTAGATCTTGGCACGGCTGTTCCTGTTCATCACTGTAGTCTCAGTTCACGCATCACGTCCGCAGGTCCTGAACATTTTCTCTAAACTCTTTGCATCCCTCATCAGACCCTGTCCCCGTATCCTGATTGATTTATTTGACATTGACATTATGTTCAGTATTTATTTGTTTGTTATTTGTCTGTCCCTCCCTCACTAAAAAGTTAGCACTCAGATGAGGGACTGTGCCTATGGTGTTCGCTGCTTGTTCACCAGTATCCAGCATGGAGGCTGTTCAGTAAACTGTTCGAAAGAATGAAAGGCTGGGGATACAGGGGTACAAAGAGAGGAGTGGACTGTGCTGTGGGGTTTCCGTAGCTGCAGGATTGAGATGCAAACCCCAGGAACCTGGCTCCAAGCCCAAACCTCTTCCTTCTGTCACAGGCCATTCACAGAGCTTTTCTAGGATGACAAGGCTCAAGGACAGGGTGCTTAGCGGCAGTGCTGGTTCTAAGAGCAAAGAACTGGAAACAACCCAAATGTCCATCCATAGGAGATTGGTTAAATATATTACAATCAGTTCTACAAAGGAAAACTATGTAGCCACAGAGAGATCGAGGAAGCTCTTTAGGCACTGATATGAAACAGTTCTAAGATCTAAAACATTAAAACCGAACAGTGTGTGTAACATGGGTGCCTTTATGGAGAAAAGTGGGAAACAATGTATTTGTTTATGAGATGCTTATACATGCTGGAGGAGCTCTGAAAAATAAAATTCAGAGTCACCTGGCAAAGGGCAGGGGTGGGGTGAGTGGGGAAACAGGTGTCAGCGGCGGGGGAAGGAGATTTCACTAAATACCCTCTGGAATCTTTTGAATTTTGAACCACACATGCAATTTCACCTATACTCAGAACGAATTGCATTTTCAAAACAAAATACAACTGCATTGTAAGAATGCTACCGCAGACATCAACATGAATCAACTGCCCAAGAGTAATTCAAGTGAGGCTCGAAAAGCGTTTCCTGGAAAAGAGCTAACTCTGACCCGATTTTTGGAGAAGAGGAGGCCATGGGAAGGGCACTTCAGAAGGAGGGACTGATGTTCATTTGGAAAACGGACATGCGGCGGGCCCCAGAATAGGGGTGCAAAACTAAGTTTCCAGACTCCCCTGCTTGTCTCAAGGATGAGCCAGGTGACCCAGAAAATGGGTCCTAGAAGGCACTCCAGCCCTCTGGGGGAAACCCTTTAGGGTCTGGAAGTCCCAAGACAGACAAAGGTTCAAATCTCAGCTCTGCCACCTGTTAACTGTGCAGCCCTGGGCATAATACCTCATCTTTCTGAGCCTCAGTTTTCTCATCAGTACAATGGGCATAAGGTTCTGCAGGTTTGATACTAAACTGGGTGATTTGTGGCAAATGGCTTCATTACACTGAGCCTCAGTGGTCTTCATTGTAAAATCCGGATGATAAAATGTTATGTGGATTCAACAACAGCAACCAAAATGCAGGAAAATAATTGAGAAGCTGTAGCTACAAATGGGAAAACCCAGGTGAAACTTCAGGGCTAGGACAGCGAAGGATAGATTTGGGCATTTATCCAGCGATTGAGGGGCTGCAGAACCAATGTCATGGATATTATTAGTAATTTTAATAATGATTATATTAAAATAATTTTACATTATTATTTCATTTAATCCTTGCAAAGATCCAATGGGGGTTAAGCCTTTTTTACAGGCTAGGAAACTGAGATTCATAATTAAAGTCACCTGGCCAATGTCACACAGGTACAAAGTGGCAAAGTCAGAATTCAAGTCCAGGACTGTCTGACTCCAAAATCCAGGTGCAGTTCATAAAGGGGAGCATGGGGGTTGTTTCACAGTCCCCTGGCAAGTTCAAGTTTTCTAGCTGACTTGGACACAATGCCTTGAAAAGGCTTTGCTACTTCTGAATTTGGTGGTGGTGTTGGGGGAGGTCTCTGTCTAGGTCATCCATTGCACCACTCAAAACTTTCATGATGCCAAGCTCTGGCTGATGTAGCTCAGTGCATTGAGCACAGGCCTGTGAACCAAACAACTGTGGTTCAATTCCCAGTCAGGGCACACGCCTGGGTTGCAAGCCAGTTCCCAGCAGGGGATGCATGAGAGGCAACCATACAATGACATTTCTCTCCCTCTCTCCTTCCCTTCCCCTCTAAAGATAAATAAAATCTTAAAAAAAAAAAAAAAACTTTCATGATGCCAAAATAAAGCCCAAAAAAAATATGGAACACTTCACAAATTTGCATGTCATCGTGCTAATTTCTGTATCGTTCCAATTTTAGTGTATGTGGGGCAAAGCGAGGCGGCGAGGGACACCTCTTTAAATGCAAAGTATGCATGGCCTTGGTGCAGACAACCCTACAGACATTTCCCCGAGGACCACCCCACGAATGGGCAAAATTCCCCTAGAGACATCCCGCTAGTCGGCAAAGATGCACATCCAAGGATGTTTAGCACGGCATTGTTCAGAACCGGAAAAACCACCCAACGTTCACCCACAGGAGAGTGGTTAACTGCAGTGCTCTAGAGCCGTAAGGGGAGCTGTGGGCTGACGTGGAAAACGTGTCCATGATATGCTACTGTTTGGCGGAAACAAAAACAAAGTAGCAGAACTGTATGTGGAGTATACCCCGAGGCTATTTCATAA